GGCTCTTCCCGGGCCAAGGGAAGCCCCACGCATGGCCTCCTCGGGCTTCCTGTCGTCGCTGGGTCCTTGGCCCCCCGTCGGCCCCTATTGCAGCCACCCGGGGCTGGGACAAGCCTGCGCGGCAGGTGCTCTGCTTCTCGCTGGGGCCCCCGGGCATTTACTGGGGCTGTGCTGCAGCGCTGCTCTGAACACCCCTCTAGCAGCACCCCACTCCAGCCAAGGCTCTCTCGGAGCCTGCTCAGAAAGGCAGGCTCAGCCAGCTTCTACACAGCCTTTGGGTACTGGGTAAGCTGATCCTAGCATGCGAAGTCCCATGAGTTGGCGTTGACGGACGGCAGGCTCTCCTGCCCACCCAGCACCCTGCCCTGAGCCCACAGGGCAGAGCCTGGCCTCGCAGAGGAGACCCAGATCCCCCATGTACGTGCTTAGAGATCTCCACTTGCACAACGAGCTGGGGTGTGCACAGGGTTTGCCCAAGATTCCTAATTCAGCCCCAGCTCTGTGGATATATAGTGGTGCTACAGCAATATAGATCACAATTTTTTGTTACTGTGCTGCCAGAGGGTGTTTCCCACTGTCTTCTAATTGGCAAATGTACTTTTATTTAACTTTTGATTTCCCAGTGTTGTTGCTATCGGTTCAGCTTCCCTATGTTACTTGCCAAATCAAACATGTTGTCCAAGTGTGTGCCTCCTTAGGGAAAAGAGACTTAAATCCCTGATCTCAGAGACATAGCTACGCAATCTAATCATCCATGTTTAAACTTCTCTTGTTTACAAGGTGAGCTAAGGATTCCAGTGCTAAACTCAGCTGACAGAACAGTCAGAACTTCAGAGATTCCAGGAAATAGCTGGATACTGTTCAGATGGTCAGAGAGCATCCAGGAGGCCGTAGAGAAATGGGCAACAGTCAAGTTGAAGTAAAAGAAGCAATAGTTATGAAAATGAGTGTTCTTGCCTATGGAGCGCTGGTCTCAATTTCCTTCATTCTGTGCTATTCTTGCATCTAGGTTTATTATAGAACAGCAACTCTCAAAAACAGTTCAACAAAGTATTATCTGTTTTTTGAATTTATAAACTTAACCTGAGAATGTTTTAAGAAGTTGCCAAATATTTTATCAATTTTATCAATTCTTTACAGCATTGCTAGCAATTACTTTCTGTATAATTTACAATATTTCACAGTATCTAAAGATAGAGAGAAAAAACAATTTCAAAGTAGTCAACTATGGTTGTGTTGGCACATGAGGAAAATCTAACTGGGCCCTGGGACATGCTCAATAGTTGTAAACATCTCGCTGCTCTACCAAAATGTTCCTTCCCCCCTGCAATAAGCTGAAACAAGCAGACAGGCATACCTTGTTTGTATCTTCCCCACCCCCCACACCCCTGCAGGGCTGAGTATATTTTCATACCTTCAAAATTCCTATTAAGTCAAGTTGCTTTTTTGATTTCACAAGGAACACACTATCAGATTTTAGTATGCCCTTGGTTTTATTATTGTGTTCCAAATAGATTTGCTAAGTAGGATAAAAGTTGGCTTTTAAAAATGACTTTAAAAAAAAAAAACACATGAATTTGATTATAGACTTTTGACCATTGTCAAAAATGAGGCGAGGTGAAAAATGAAAGTGTTAAGGAACATGCTGTAATGTGTAAAGTTCCAATTCTAATTCTAATTTAAATCTCTCCTCCAGTTGCCAAGCTGTGTGTTTGTGATCTCCTGGTGGCACAGTGTGATGTAAATTGCTGCTGTGACCCTGATTGCAGTGCAGCAGATTTCAGTCTTTTTACTACATGTTCAGTTCCTATTGTCACGTAAGTGGATAAACAGCTATATGAAATACAAAATCTTGTTTCATTTGCTTCATGAGTTTGTAAGGGCTTCATCTTCTCCTTTTACCAATTCCTAGCCCCCCTCCTGCCTGCCATCCTAACTCCTACCTACCCTTTCCCCAGTCCAACCTGCACTAGGCCTGTAAACTTTTGGCCCCAGCCAGGTCAAACAGCAAATCCGCCTCCCACCCCAGTTTCTCGTTCACTTACTCCCTCTTTTCTAAACTCGTGCTCCTTGCTTTTCTCCTCTCTCACTGTGCTACTGTCTACAGGCACTTAGGTGGCGATGCCTTCTGTTGGGGGAAGCATAATGCATCTTTAGACTTTCATCAATACAATGCAGTGTCTGGAAGTTAAGAAAGCTGATACCATGGGACCATCTGGCCACCTCCGTAGGTCATCAGCAGTTTATCAGTAACCACTTTCATTACCATTTATGATATCATCTAGAAACTTGATCAATTCAGGGCTTAATGAAGTAGCGTGAGCATCGTTCAGATCCTAGCTTTACAAGTCAATGTCCCAACCTGCTGCCTCACTACCAGTCTGTCACTTTACAAACAGTAAATTGTAACCTTATAGCAATAAAGTAATGCCCATAGCTGTTTCTTTGCTATTTACACTTTATCTGAAAACACCTTCACCCAATTTCATCTTCTCAAAAAGGAGTTACAAAGACTCACTTTGAAATTGTAATGTAAAAAATCTCTTGGTGACTTCTCAGAACACTAAGTACAGCTCTTGAACCCACCTTCTGCATAAATTATTCTAATCTGAACACTGGGGTTTATTCTTGGTGCTTTGAAATTTGAATTAGCAGTCATCCCAGACTGCCTTTTCTTATTGTTCTTGCATACAATGACTACTGCTACCCATTTATAGATATTTATAGATATCAGAAAGGTCTAATCAATGCTTTCCTGAGCGACAGTTTAATTGTCCCAGGTGACTAGTCTGTCTGTCAACTAGAAATGCATAAAATGAAGTTGTGTTTCTTTCCCCAAATTCTTTTGTGTAAAATGTTAATTTTGCATGAAAATCCATGGGGTTTCCAATGCCTACGAATATTGTGAATCTCATTATTTACACATTGAGATTTATATACATTTGCATAATTGTATTAGATACTGAAAGGGCTTGACTGATCACAAGTGAGAGGCTATGTGGTTTCTGAAACAGAGGGAAAAGGCTGTTTGATTTATGATGTGATCCTACTAACAAATGGTTCGCTTCGTGGCAAGGTTTAACTCCATGCTTAAAAAGTCATTTCACTTCTTCAGTATCTGTCCTTGACTGCTTTAACTCTGCCTAAGTGCTAGTTTCCCAAGGATCATCATCTTGTATTTCTAGCATGTAGGACACACCAGTACTCTTCACGGTATGAACTGGCACATTCACTGTGCAGCCTACTGCAGTTCTGGGCTGTTGTTGATGAACCTGTGGCACATCTACAAATACTTTTCCTAGGTTGGATGGGTTGTGTCACCTCCCTCTTTCTCACTCTGCCATTTCTTTCATGTGCATCTCAAATAGGACTTTTTCCTGCTCCCCTCCCCAAAGCGAGTATTATTCCAATATTCATAAAACTGACCTTTTTTCTGGTCTACATGCAATCACGTTACCCTAAAGGTCATACTTCCCACTTGTGTTGTATAAATAAAAGTGCTTCTGAGCTGTGTATAGCCTGTGGTGCACTCTGCATTTGTGGTCTCTCACACCGTCTGGATCCCATCCAACTTGTTATTTTAGCTCAAATATTAATACTGTCAGGCTCTTCCCTTTCCCCTGGTCTGTTTCTTACCTTTCTTCGTGTTGCTGCTCAGTTTCCTCTGCTAGGTAAAACATGTTGGAGAATTCTTTTATTTGTTGCTAAGCACATAGTATGAAACAATATAAACCTTCTAAGGAAGCAAAATTGCTATACAAATGGTGTTAAAAAGAGTCACAAAAAAAGAGTAATTTCTCTAGTGCTTTTTCTGATGCTGCCTCAGTACACGAAAAGAACTTTAAAATATGGTCAATACTAACTTCTAGTGGATTATTGATGTTATTATTATTGTTTGCAGAGGTGACAGCCGTCTTTGTAGCCAGAAAGCTGCTGTATATTCACTTGATGTTAAAGCAAATCCACCAGAAAGGATATTTAAATTAATTGACCAAGTCAATCCCAGTGTTTTCTGCATTCATACTACAAACTGTAAGTAGAGTTGTTGCCAATATTAGGCATTGTGCTGTTATTTTTATAAGCTCTTTAGGTACCAGAAACAGACTAAAATTAAAAGTAACTAAATCTGTCAGAAAACTGGTTATTCTGTATGCTCACAGTCCTTATCTTGTAATCCTTTCACTTGTGAAACTATGGAGTTAAAACATCTCATACTCTAAGTCTTATTATTCTCTGATGAAAAAAAAAAAAAAGCTTCTTGTTTTTTTTTTTTAATATATAATTTAGCATCCACAATAAATCACATTAAAGTTGTCTCATGGGAAACTGACTCCTTCCCAATCTGTTACTGTAACTATGTAATAGACACCATGGATACAAATCCTTTATGATCGGCTTTGAAGTAACTTGAGGGGAACTAAGAAGTGATCAGTGCTGTCTTCTCTTAATTTAACTAAGACTGTGCAGTAGTCATCTGAATACTTAGCATGGAAACAGTATACACTAATTGGCATTTCTTTGTTTTGGAACGTCTGATGCTGTTAGAAACCATGATTTTGAAAGAAAGGAACTTACCTCTTTCCTTAAGTTTAAGTTTGTGCTTTCATGGATCTGGGTGAAATGATGAGTTAAGATACATTAATTAAGATTTTCTTAAAGAAAAGAGAAAGCTTTTTTTAAAAAAAAAAAAAAGCTGCATTAGTATTTTTTTTACTGAGTTTTAGCAACTCCAGAAGGAAAAAATGTTAAAAAATCAAAAATATTATCCTTTATGTATCTTTTATCCTAAAAATTATCTTATTTTTTAAAATGTTTTGACAGATAAACAAGCACTCTCCTTCAGTTCCCCTGAAATGCCTACTTCTGAGAATTTTGATCAATTGCTTAGACGGTTTGGAAGTGCTGCTTTCAGTGCTGAGCCTGACAGCTGGAATATGAACACAGACACTCAAAATCCTTCTGATGCAAATGAAACTTATAGATACAAGGTAAATAATTATATGATTCAGTTAGTATTAGATTGTTCTACAAAAGAACAAGTGAACATTGTTCGCATCTGCTTTTAAAAAATTGCAGTTCTAGAAAAAAAACTTTCATTTGGTCTGTAAATAAAGAAATATAAAAATAAGAAGTGTAGCATTTTGTGTTTGCTTATTAAAAAGTGAACTAGATTTTTGTTAAGATCCGTGAAAAATATGTAGCTGTTTTGCTATTGTAAACATAAAGCTGTTAGAATTGATGCATAAAGTAGTATACAGCATTGACAGAGATAGTGGAAATAAGTACTTCTATTACTAAATGCTCTAAAACTTTCTGTGGACTGAAACACACCTATATACTTGAATATATTGTTTTATTTGGCAGTATGGTGTTCCTATACAGACAGTGGATGCATTCCTAAGACTGCCTAGTCCTGTTGTCTCCTCTTGGTGCTCTGATGCGAATCCTGCAGGTTGGAAAATGCATTTGAATTCCAGTTTATTTGCTTTAGAGTATTCTTCTCTGACTTGAGCTTAATCAGTCAGTACATTGGCACACACACAAATGTAAATACAGATAAAGATGCATGAACAAATATTTTTCAAATAGCTTCTGTTTCTCTGGGGTTTTTTTAGACATAGATTGGATGTTGTGTTGCATCTATGTTAAACATTCAAAGTTAGATATGTTAAGTCCTTGAGAGTCTTGTTAGTGGGGTGTTTATCCAACAACAAAACAGCCTATTTGGCATAATTGGTTTAACAAAATAGTACAAGGGTGACACCGTGAGGGAAGAGGGTATTACACAAAGCAAGACCTAACTGGGCAACCTTTGTAAGATGTCCCTTTGGCACAATGAGGTTCCTTTCACAGCCTGAACATTAGTCAAGTCAGACTTGCAAGCTTGAGTTCTCCATTTTAACCTCTCACCCAGTTTCCTGAAAATCTGCAGGGGGGGCAGGGGTAGCAGAAAAAGAGAGAAGCCACAACCAAAACCACACCCCCGCATTTTCCAAAACCCACTGTTATTAAATACGGCATAATAACAATCATGATGATGACCATAGGAAAACTGAAGTCTCTTGTGAAAGAAAAAAAAAAATCTTATGACATCTCAAAAATGAAGTCATAAATCTTCTCCTAGCTTTTATTAAGCTTCCATTGTTAAAAGGTAATATTTTGTCTCATAGCATTTCTGGATAATCTAAGAAAGTATCATTCTTTATAGTTCGTATAAAACCTTATCTGCAATAGGAATTACATTCACCTTCACTTTTGCTTATCCTTGAGGTTCTTATACTGTTTTATATTTCTGTTTTTCATAATTACTCTTTAATATCCTTGAGTAATACTTTGTGACATTTTTTTCCCCCAGGTTTTTTAGTAAACCAGGCTACAAAATGCACTAGATTAGTAAGTGTGGAAAAATGTGGCAACATTCAAGCAGTTAGTATGCTGTTCTATATCAACTCCAACATTTTAGCAGTAAGTATGATTGGAAACATTCATATAGCTGACCGTTGATATTACATATCTTTTTGCATCTCCAGAATTAAGTAACTTCTATTTAGTAAAGGATATGGTGTTTTATTTGGATTTTTAAATTGGGGAAAAATATCTCCCTGTGCAACAGACTTTTATACAGAAAGTCTTTGGAAATGTTTTTTACTTCAAGCTTCAGTAGCAGAAGCATTTACTGTCCTCTGCTTAGCCAATAAAAATAATGTTCTTGAAGAGGCAAGCTTGTGTCGCTGAGCTAATGCTTACTGCAATGGCAGCAGTTTTATGCTTTTATGCATGTTTGAGCTTATTCCAAGAAGCCTATTACCAGAGTGCATAATTTTAAGAGGTCTGAGTTTTAAAGACTTGGTAAACCTTTGTACATAAAGAAGAACCTGTAAGGTTTAATCCTTTACATATATACTTTTCTTACAAGCCTCAGTTATTAATAGTGAGGTATCTCACACATGTGTGAAGCCTTCCTTATGCTCATCAAAGAACATGATCTTTTACCCTGCTGAGAGCACATTTGTTTGTATCCAACCTACTACCAACCCCAGTCTGTGGTTATTTTTCAGAGCTAAGCTTATTTCTTCATTCCTCTTTGCGGTGGAGGATGATGTCTTGAGTATAAATAAGTGCTCTTTAGAGATATTCAGGAAGACAAAGAAATCATCCATGCAAAATTGAAACTGAAATACATGATACCTTAACCTGATAGCTCCTTCCAAAAGCTGAAGGTCACCAGGAAACAGCATACTCTCCATCATTAAAATGTTTTAAATTTATGTATATATTTAAATTAATTTAATTAATACTCCATAGTGAGTCACTGCTTAAAGACCCCTTCCAGCCTCACAGATTACAAAGCTGTCAACAATAAAGGAAAGCATGCTAAGTAGTTCACACTCTCACAGGTGGAATCATTCCCCTGATCTTTGAGGACCTCATCGAAATCAGCAACGGCTTGTTCACAAATGTTAGTTGTGGAAGAGGTGGAAAAAACTCTGCCTCAGAAGGGCTTTGAGTGTTTCCACGTGCACCCAAAATCAGAGTTCTTGCTGGCTGCAGAACCAGAAAATAAAAAGCACGTGTCACAGGCTCCAAGCAGGTGAATGTTTTTGAATTATTAATTCCCTTTCCTCACTAGAACAGTAGATAACATGTTACCCACGTGCTGTTTGCCAGTTACAATGCCCCAGCTTAGGAGAGGTCAGACTTGTGTCCAAAGTACATTGGAGATTCAGGAAGGATCAGATGCAAGAACCAGAGAAGTCTGGATAGATACTGGAGGTGATCTGTAGGAAAATCCCCTTCCCAAAGAGAGCTGAAGACAGCATGTGACAATAGAGAAGTGACTTGGCATTGTGGACAGGGTGGTCACAGGGCAGAGCAGGGAGCCTTTCCAGTGCCAGCAGATGGAGCTGCCGGCAAAAGAAATGGCAAAACACATCAACCCAGGGAGGCTTGCTGGGAGCCCGGGTGAAAGGACTGGTACAGCAGTTCCTTCAGAAAATGCCATCGTTATGAGCCCATACTCACTGCCAGGCTGGGCAGCTTGAGTGATAGGAAGATCTGCAGTTGTTGCAGTTCATCTCTGCTGCCTACCCTGGCCTGTCCAGCAGACCCAGGGGGCATTGGGGTGCTTGGAACCCTCAACCAGGATAGATACTAATGTTGTGATGCCTTATACTATGGTTAGTGTGTACTGTGCAGCTGCCAAAGCAACGTGCTGCTGCCTGCCCCGGGCTGGTGGGAAGATGAGTCAGTGGGAGGCAGGAGTGAGGCTGGCGTCGTATCTGCCAGTGACCTACAGAAACATAATCCATCACCCCAGTCACAGATAAATAGAATTTTAGGAGCTGTGATCACTCCCTCTACCCTAGTTGGAAAGAGCATACTTCCCTAAAGGACAAGTCTAATCTTTACAAGCACTTTTATTCACACAGCTGATTCTGATGGCTAAGCTGTATCTCAAGATCTTGATATAAATATGTGACAGTGTGTGACAGACTTTACCTGCATCACCTTCAGGTCTCCAGCTCATAAGAATGTGTTCTCTACCATGATGTTAAATGAGCAGACTGATCTCTGTATCCTATCATAATTCTGCAGAACTTGCTTCATGGTCAGAGTCCAGTTTTTGGTCCCTTCCCAAAGATGTGAAGCAAACACTCATTGGGAAGTCACAAAAATAAAAAAATTGACAAAATGGTGCTCTGTGGGAGTATTTTGCAGGCCTGATTGATGACCTCGGTCTGACATCTCTGCCTTTCCATAAAAATTCGGTGGAAATTTATAACAAGAGGGATACTTGTTTCTCATTTCTTTGTTTAGAGACTGTGAAACTATGGACTCATTACTGTCAGAATGGGTCAAAAGCTCTTCATTTCTTTGGGTATGAACAGCCTGGCAGACTTCCTAAACTGGCAGTGTATGATAGTTACAAGTGGTTTTGCATAGATCTGCAATAGGAACAGGGTTCTCTGACGCCCTCAATAGATCAAACGATATGATGCACAGTAACAGTCATGACAAACTGAGATGCCTGTCTCGGGTGACGTTTCTGATGCAAGTAAACTTTTGCAGTGTTTCTGGGTGCTCAGTTGCAAATAGAGTGTCCAAGGGAAAATGCACTGTGTATTTATTGGGAATGCAGTCAATGCTAGGCCTGATGGAAAACTGATGGAAGTCGCTAAGAAATTTTCCAGTTACTGTCAAGGGAAGAAGAGGCTTGGACTATAAGATTTTGCCTCCTAGCCACAAAGAATAGCAGTTATTTTCACACTGCCTGGATGCTGTAGTGTATATCCAATCACTTCCATGATGTAAAGGTTACTGTAATGATAGAGAGTTAAATAAGCAAGCAGTTAAGCCTTAAGTGCTTTACTTAACTGCTACTTGTAATAGGTCATACCTTTGCTATTGTTTCAATTTGTTCTTTTATTCTCCTCTAGGTGCCCAAATCAAGTCAGATGGTAAGTATTCTTCTTAGTTGGAACAGCTGGGGGCAAAATTCTTACTGAATTACAGTTAGTGAGAGTTTTTCACTGACTTCATCAGAACAGGGACCTTATCCTTAATCTTTAAATTAAAAAATTTCTATCATTTGCTATCAGTAATGATGCTTAGCAACTTCAAGATAATATGCTACCTGCAAACATTTAAGCCTGATGCATTCCCCTCCTATAAAACTCTCTTGTTTTAAGTGACTCTCTCTAGTTACTTGAAAACAGAACCTTTTGTTGAACTTCAATAATACATGTAATATAGCAGTTGTTCAGAGGATTATTGACTGCTGTCTCTGTGGAACAGAACCCGGCAGGGTCGCAAATATAATAATACAGGATAAGACAAAAATAATTATACACAGTATTCAGAAATTACATGAATTTGTTTTTCAGGTTAATATTACTGTCCAGTCCATAGTTGTCCAGTCTCTGAATGGAATGCAGACTTTACTTAATGGTAACGATGTCCTCAGGCTCCCTATGATTTTGGGTGGACTGTGCATAAATATAGTTTTTGGGGTAGGTATGACAGTTGTTTTCCTCTCATGTTTGATGGAAAGCATGTATGCATCAAGTAATTTCTGATTCACAAATTACAAAGATGTGAGAAAGGCCTTGCACAGTTTCCATATATTGTGACATCCCCAAAGTAAATGTGACAGGAGAAAACACTGACTTTGGGATAAAAAGAGAGTCTTTTGCAACAAAATAATAAGTATATACAACATAACATGGAGACAGGATGAAATCCTTTTTTATTATTACTGTGTGTCTATGACATAACAGACAATAACACGAGTTTAAAATTTACGTTATGCTTGGGTGAAGATGACTTCAGGCACAGTGGTGGCAGAGACAGAGGAATACACAGTGCAAATCATCTCATCTTTTAATCTCAAATAGATGAACATTGGGCTTATGCTTAGAAGAAGTTTATCAAGAAGTCAATTTTTAAGAGGCTCCAACCCTAGATCCGTTTCCGACCATTGCTAATCAGTGGCTTGATTTGGTAACAGTCATGTCCTTTATATGTAAATCTGCTGACACACAGCTACTTTGTGAATGTCATGGTTTTGTCTGTCAGATCAGACCACAGCTTTTTTCTTACTCTTCTCGCAACTCTCTCCCTTTGTAGACAGGAAATGAGTGACAAACTAGAATAAATAGGCAGTATTTCCAATCCATGTGTCTTAATTTGTAGGAGAAAGCTAGATCAGCATCTGGAGGGGAAGTATCTAATCAGTCCCTAAGTATCAGTGCTTATAAAAGCACATGCTACCTTGGATATAGAGGCAGGTCTTTGTGTTTTAACGTGCAGTCATTGTAAAATGACTAGCCACCAACTGAGCAGCACTTCAGTTCCTCCTGTCTTCTGGGCCCACCCTTACTACAACCGAGGATATAGCATCTCTCTACCATGTAGCTGAATGTTTCTTAAGCAAGGAAGAAAGAAAACAATACTTACATAGTTTTAAATTCCTTTTTTCTAGTTTCATACTCTTAAGTATTTATTCTAATTAATATCTAAAATGTTTAATTTTCAGGTGAGTTATCACATTACTTACACAGATGCAGGAGAAATAATAGAAGCAGCTGCTTCTTTTGTCTTGGGGGCAATTAACAAAGAAGCACTTTCAATACAGCAGAGCTTTGAAATCAGCTTTACTCAGGTAACTGCTAGAGATGTTACGGATGACTTGTTGAAAGACATTTAATTACAAAACTTATTAAATGTGAATCAGAACAATTGTTAGCAGCAAGGTAAAATGTAACTTGCCCTGGATACACAAATGAGGCAGCATTTCAGAACTGGGCAATAAAGGTCTCCAAAGTATGCTTTTCACATTTAGAAGAGTCATCCTGTGACTCTGTACAACTGTATCCAGTGAGAGCAAAGCCTGCCCCAGTGTTGAGAACTGTTACAACCTTACAGAGCAGTCTTACTACTATCATTGTTCAAGGCAGTTAATTCTTGACTAAGTGAACTATTTCTGTGTTTTCCAACCATTTCAGTAGAGGATAAGACCTAATACTGTACATTTGCATTGCAGGTAAATACAAAGCCAGTTCCTCTCAGTGGTAATCCTGGTTATGTTGTTGGACTGCCTGTAAGAGCGGGCTTCCGGCCACAAGGATATCCTTTCCCTGTTGAAATTTTGTTTGCAGCAGTTGTTCTGGTCCATCTTCACAAACACAAATATGCATAAAATGTATCTGTTCTTTAATAAAAGTGTGCTTTTTTTGGCTATGTTTTAGAAGTAGCAAATGACTCAGTCCTGACTGCAATCTCCTGGGACTTTTTAGTGAGGTAGATTTAGACCTTCATTGTACACTCTAGTGCTTCCTCACATTGTAAGAGGAGTCTTGAGCTATTATAGCATTTTCAGATATATTTTAATAATCTTATTAAGGATTCTTTCTTCATGATATACATCAAAGTATTGAATTTCCCCTTAACTGTGTGTTACATCTGGCATCATTCAGAATTCTAACAAATACGGTCAATTTACCATTTTGCAAAGTACATCCAGCAAGGACTGTCTGGCAGCACAAGGAGCCAGAACCCCGATATTATTTGGTTATAACATGATGTCAGGTTGTAATTTACGGTAAGAAGACTTTTTTAATTTTTTTTTTTTTTTTTATTTAGTGCTTTTAACCCTCTGACAACCCTTTCCATTAGGATCTGTTCAGGTCCTGGGACATTATACTGCTGTAGGAGTATTTAATTATAAAAAATGTCATTTAATTAACAATGGTCTTTCTTTTGAAAAGATAGTGTACATTAGCAACTGTAGCCAGAATGCTTGAACGGTGCATGAGAGCAAGGAGAAATTATTACTGTGCCAAACCAATGATTTTGCTCTAACTTTTTTTTCTCTCCTGGAAGAATTACTGGATCTGTGAGATGCCAGCTTTTGACTCAGACCCTCCTAGATTTACTGAAGGGACAAAGCTTTCCTGAATATGTGGCCTCATTCGGAAATTCTCAAGCCCAGGATGTGCTCGACTGGGTGCCAATAACTTACCTCCACACCTCAGAACAGGTGAAAGTTACACCTCCCCCCTTCACTCTTACAGTCCTCTCTCCTGAGATCTGTACCTGTACTGCAGCATCAGCTTAGGTTTTTCAGACCTATGGGGAAAAAAAAATGCGGAAACAAACTGGAGGAAAGTCCTCCTGGAATATGAGGAGTTTTACCCTTGCTGTAGAAGACAGGGTTTACTTTTAATCAAGCTGGTATCCAGGAACCTCAGTTATGGATCAGGACAACATGTTGGGTACAAAATGAGTTCTAGCCACAGTTTAGAGTCTTGTTCTTCAGCTAGGATGAAGCACAAGAGATAAGCTTGAAAGAGTGAAGTAACAGAATCAGTTTCTCCTTGGTGCTCTTATGCCAGGTTAAAGTAAGATAGCAAGAATCCTTTAAAGCACAGAAGCAGTATACTTGAGTGACCCAAACACTACATTTATTCTTACCATCTTCTGTACTAGCTCTTTTCCTCCCGATGCAGTGTAGTCTATGTTAGTGGTGGTAGGCAGTGCTGCTTGGCATGTGCTGAACGACAGCATCCCCTCAGTGACAGCTTGCATATAGGTTTCTTGTATGCTTTTGCAACTAAACAGTGAATGATTTCTGTAACCAGAAACTTGACAGTACAAGAAGAAAAACCTAAAAATATTTAAGATTGTAGGTTTCAAAATCCTTAACTCTGCCAGGGCAGAATTTTCTACTGTCCCAGCAGTATCACTGAAATAAGTCTTCCTACTAAAAAGAGCCAGCTCAGCAGTATCACTAAGAGCCAAAGTCCTGCCCTGCTCGGGTAGAACACTCCTGCCTGAAGCGCAGTTACAGAGTCGGTTTGTCACCTATGGAGAAACTGCAGGGACACCCCTGAGCCAAGGCTGCACAAGCAGCAGTCCAGGGCACAGGCATGGCCTAGTTGCTCTGGTAACCTCCCGGAGCGAGCTTTCTGGGGGCATTCTGCCAGTTTAATAAGATGAATAATTAATGTGGTTGCTTCTGTACAAGTCAGACAATGAGAGAATTTATAATACTTTTCAGAGCTCGTGCCAAATACCAGTATCACTTGAAATAGAAGTGAAGTGGACTAAATATGGATCCCTAGTCAATCCGCAAGCCAGAATAGTGAACGTTACAGCAACGATCACTACCTCCACATTTAAGCAGGTATATAATTAAATTATAGGATTTAGGATAAAAAGAATGGCTTGATTTGCTTAGGTATCAGCTGTGCAACAGTGACCCAGTTAATCTCTTTATCTAAAGGTAGCACTTCATCTTAGAATGTATTACACCCAACAGCTTCTGTTCCAACTCAAACACAACTGTGGGCTGCTTGCCAAAACACACTGCAGTAAAAATCTATACATCATTCATGAAAAGAAACATGGAACTGTTTATGAAAAAAGCTTTTTATGAATAGCAGCTGAATATATAACCAAGTCCAAACAAAGCAGTTGTACAAAAAGAAGACTGAAGCTAATGACCATTTGTCTTTTCATTGCAGCTTCCCTGGGGAAGGGAAAGGACTATTCCTATAACAAGTTCTGTTTTTTTCACTGATATTTCTTCACCTGCAGAGCCAGGCTATAAAGCTCGGCCCACCATTAATGCCAAGTTACCCTTTGATTTTTTCTTTCCATTTGTCTAAGGTAAGTATGCATCAAAAAAACCACAAAAGCCACCATATTTCTGCTTTTTCTCATTTTTAGTCCATTTCCTAAAGAAGTGAGGTTTATCCAGTCACTGTGATGGGCCATCAGTTTCTTCTAAATTGTAGACACACTGGGTTAAAGTTGGCCAAGAGAGAAAGGATGAGCCCTTGTGAAGGTTCTCAGAAGCTTTAGGGCAGAAAAAAACCCACATTAAGTGGAAAGTTCCCAATTATACCTCTGCCCAGAAGAGGCTGCAGTATGAACATGATGGTGGCTCTAGCCAGTCAGCACACGCACAGCCACCAGCCTTCCAGCACATCGGCTGCTCCAAAGTAGCACTTGTCCGAGCTGCCTGCCTAGCAGTGTGGAGGCTCCAAAGGAAAGCAGGCTTCATTATTCTGTGAACAGCAGAGCTAAATTGTTAATTAAAGTAGTCATGTGCTATTAGATAAGGCCTCTGCTTTATCTATTTTCATAGATGACTAAGCCATGTATTTCTAGCTATTTTTCCCAAACCACTAATTAATTACCTTTCCTGCAAAAATGCGAACAGTTAAGTGATGCTTTCAGAAAAGCTCAATGACCCTTCCAGCTGACTCTGGCTGAATCAATTGGAGACGCCTGCTACAGTCAACACCTTTCAAAATTTCCACTTATTGAATCTTACTCTTCAACTGTAAAATAGTCTCTCCACAGGGACCTTCTAGTACCTGAAAAAGTTCATGTTGTGTTCAAACACCGGCCTGGTCCTTTAGAATATGCTTTCTAATGGCTTTTCTGGAGTCTAACTGTTCCCAGCAGTGCACTCACCTACATCTGTTCTTACATATTCTAATTCTTTTAAAGTGTTGATGTATGAGCTGTGGAAGCAGAAAGAACTTTGTAGCACAGCGGGCCGCAAATGAACACTTAAAATGGAAGAAGAGACCAGAGAACACTGTATCAGAACTCACATCTGCTGCTGAGAACAAGGCATTGTTTGACGTAAAATGGCACATGTTTGCCTCTATTTTGGTGCTGATTTGATTGTCAACTAAAGGAGTGGAATGTTGGTATTTTTGACATGAACGTTACATAAATAACAAAGTGGCACAAGCAGCAACAGAAATGAGGAAACTATCAACAAGATGAAAAGAATGGTTGGCAAAGAAGAGATGTACTAATGACGAATGGTCAGCTTGTAGAGAAGAAACGACCTTTTCAGCCTGGACTCTACCATTTGTACTGCAAGTTTCTACAAGATGTTGCAAACAAAGAATGTTATCACGAAAAACTCAATTATTTAAAATAAGTGGTATTTTTGTGGATGTATAGCTTGTAAAGATGTGTTTTTATTAAATTATTTTGCAGTTTTGACTGTACAACTGTACAAAAACATCTTATGAAATCACTGTTTACAGGGAGTACATGGGATTAATTTTCCAGCAAAACTATTCTTGCAATCCCAAGATCTAATCAAAGTATGGACAAATAGAAAATGTTTATAGACAACACTACACAAGAGAAAGCAAAGAGAAAGGAAAACCTTTCGGGTCAATGTGGTGGGTTTCAACACTGCACTCTCCAGGGCAGACTTCCCCACCTCAGCAAACCGGTCTCCTAGTTTTGATCGCTGATGAGTCCGTGCTCTTGCAGTATCTTGTTAAGCCTCTCAATTTCTTGCTCCTGTTGGAGACAAAGGTCAAATCATTAATATAGCTCTTGCCTTAAAATAGTTTCACCAGATTCTCACAGATCTTTCCACTGCTGAAACATAGCTCGTGCTGCAGGAAAACAGGACAACCTGGCTAAAGTAGGACAGAGGTAGCCGTCATCCCTTTGCAGCAAGTAGCTAAGGGAAGCGCAGGCAGGACAGGCAGGGTTGTGGTTCTTCAGCCCAGCTTACCCCATGACTTTCTGATGAAGAAACCAAGCTGACAGTGGCAACCTTGCAAAAGGATCCCAAGCCAGCTTGTCCTGGGGAGTAGCCAGCAGGTAAACCCTCTTTAATTTAAAAGTGTTTTCTTACTTTCTCTATGCAGCTGTGTTCCAGTTGTTCAACCTTTGTTGCAAGTTTCAGGTTTGCTTGCTTTAGCTTGGACACTTGTTGTTCAGAGCGGGTCTTCACCGATAAAATTATTCCTGTGAAACAATTCACAGCGGATTCGTTTTACGGTGTAAAACAGCCACTAGCAGGAGCTTAACAGTACACAGGGTCTGTACGCAAGGAGTTAAACGTGTTCCTCTCAAGCTCTGACTCTGTCATCTTCAAACCACCCTTCCCAAGTGCTTTTCTTAATGAGGAGGGTTTTAAATCAGCCACCCCAGGGATTCAGATACCGATACTCTGCTGGGAAGAGGCAGTCTGGCCCCTGAGCTGAATTAATCAGTCAGACTGTCATTCAAATTCTGAATTTGAATTCGCTCCCTCAGCAGAGCCTGGGGGGATGTAACTAGCAGCTTTGTTGTAACGAGGGGCTGAGTTTTAGCAGGTTTCATGTAGTCTGGACCCTTGCAGCACCCAGCACAGCCCAGGGCACAAGGCTCGTCCGCCCCCGGGGCCGATGGCTCCTGCCCAGTGTTACAGGACATGGCACATTGTCAGGTCCTTTGGGTTTTGGCTTTGCCTCACGCAGCTGCAGTAAAGGCACACAGTTTCTCATGACAGTGGAGGTGTCAATTCTCTACTGAAATATTGTTAGGTTATTACATGTGAATACAGCCCCCACAGCAAAGGCATTTTCTTCCCACCCTTTTCTGAGGGGGAGAAAAAAGAGAAAAAAGTTTGGTAAGAGCATCAAGAACATCACATTCTTCCTACCCAACGGAGCTCTACCTCTGGCTGTTGACGGAACAATGTGCGCAAAGGCAGGCAGCGATGCGTGCGTGTGTTTCTAGTGCTACAGGCAGCAGGCTTGGGGTTTGGGGGTTCATTTCTCTGAAGACAAAGCAGCAGTGCTACTTATTTGCATTGATAACATCAAACAGTTCCCCACCTGCCTGTAACCCAGTCCCTTATTAATCAGCAGCGATTGAAGGCAGTGAACCGTGCCAAGACTTGGACACACAACACCCGAAAGCTTGGGGTAGATTCTGTTTATCCCCTCCATTGCTCCAAGCAGGCGGGCACGGCAAGAATCTTGGCAGGGGCAAAACCAGAAGCACCCAAGGATAAGGAGGTTTACTTGTAAATGCAATACTTGTTTTCTGCTGTGAAACAGCGTGTTAAGAGACGCCGAGGCTGTTGTGGCTCACGCAGGTGCACACAAATCCGGTTTTTCTCATGACTTCCACTCCAAACTAAAAAGAGCCGCGAGCTGCTCTTGCACATTCCCTTCTCCCAGCCGCTGCCACCGATCAGGCACGTTCTCCCCATCAAAATGGCAGCTGGGGCTGCAGGTCACGGGCACGGCCCCAGCCATCCTTTCCTTTTATTCCAGCTAACAACGCTTCCAGCTGCATCAAGTACAGAGCACCCACCAAACATGCATTCGTAGGCACAGGACAGCACTTGGGCAGAGGTTTCATGCAGGAATTAGGCATAATCTCATTGCCACTTTTTTTTTTTGAATCCCAAAATTCCTTCCCTGAGAAGGAAGAAAATGTTTCCAGCCACACTTTTTTCAGGAGTGTCTGAATTTACATGTTTGCAAGAACTTACAGTTACAACAGCAAAGTCAGTAAAGTCTGATTTGGGGACATTTTATATTTCTCTTTTAAGGGTAAACCCTTTGAATCCAAGCAAGAAAGATCCAGACTGAGATTAGGACGTTCCCTGCAGCATCCCTGGAGGGGATGACAGATTCACAGCAGAACATCAGAGCGGTAAAACCTACTCTGCTACAGAAGTAGATTCAGGAAGGCAGGGTTTTACCCTGCTGCCCTGTTAAAACGTTGCCAAAAGGTTCCTACAACGCAAACTTAAGACGTGAGCCATCGCCCTCCAGGAGGGAGGGACGCAAAACAGATTACAGGTTGGTTTTAGGGGCACGTGCCTGATGCTGCTGTGCTAGAGCTGGGCAGCTCCGCTAGCCCGGGCCAGCTGCCGTGCCCCCATCACTGAGGCATCGCACCAACACAGGCAGCAGATTATTGCTGCTCCAAAGAAATTACAGCCTAATTAAGGCCACACTCCAGCAACGAAAACCACACAGGCAGAACTCTAAGTTCGCTGGGAGAGCAAGACCCCAGGGTCTCGCAAGTGGCTTTGAGAAGGGAACAAAGACGTAAGCCCAGATAATTCAGGTAAGGTCAGCAAATCCAGCCCACATACCAGGGGAAGCTCCCGACCGGCCGCACACACCTACCGTTGATAATCCTGGCCACCCGCCACAGCCGCAGGAGTATCAGGAGCCCGACAGCTTCAAACTCGTGCTCCCGGAAGATGAGGACGACGTCGAGGATGAACGACACGATGACGACGATCCCGTCCAGCACTTCAAACTTGTGGTGGAAGAACTCCCGGCGGTAGACGAAGACCTTAAACCCCACCTCAACCAGGAAGATGGTTAAAATGGAAAGAGAGAGGTAGTGGAAAACCTGGGAAAAGACGGCACAGGTTTAAGGCCAGGAACAACTCCTGCATGCACGCGAGCAGGGCAGGCTGGAAAACATCCACCACTTGAGGGCATGTCTGATTTGGCTCTACAAGGAAGGCTGGGAACTTCTCTTCTGCTCTAAGGGACAACCAGGGCAAGCACAGCTGAGCAGCCAGCGGCTTTGGGTAAGCCAGACCAGGAAGTGTGAAGGCAACCAGGAGAAGAGCGACAAGAGCAGTTCAGCTCTGCTGCAGCCTAAGGAAACATGAAGCCATGGCATAGACCAGCGTGAGCCGAGCCGTGTCAGGCCCGGACTCTGCAGCGCTGTCACACAAGTCCCTGCGAGACCTTCGTCCATGTGCCTGTGACTGCTGGCTTGGCAAGGCTGAAGGTTGTCCAGGCTTGGCCTGCCTGGTTGTCCTATCTAGTGGGACAACACCAAAGAGGGGAAGTCATGGTTCACGGTGACACTTCCCTGCATTTTACCTTTGGGGTTATATTGTATTTGTCCGGATGGATGATTTTCAAGTCCATAAGCAATTCCCCGAGGACCAACAAGGCATCCAGGATGACCAAGCAGACAACCAGGATCTGTCGG